AAACTAGTGTAAAAGTGAGATTTTGCATACATTTTAATGCTACAAAGGTCTTGGAGGATGAGCGAGAGATTCAAGAGTCAAGCCAAGAGTAGTACAAGCACAATTGAAGAATAGGCATATTCTATCGATACAATTGGAGGCAGAAATTCGTTCATCTAGTAGAAGTTCACTCCTACTGGTAGAAGTGAAATAGAGACCTATTCTATCAGCATGTTTATACTGTTCTACCAGTAGGTTTCAAAATAAAATGTTGTTCTATCAATAGCTGTGAAGATCTATCAGTTCATGCAAAATAGTGAATAGTTCTACCGGTAGGTCGTTTTGTGCTTCCTACCGGTAGGTTAGTGCATTTCTACTGCGAGTACAGTTTTGGAAAGACAATCTTATGGGATATCAAAAGGCCATGATTGGTGGATTAAAAGAGAGGAAAATCAGCACATTTGCTCCTATAAATACCCAAACCTATTCAAAGAGAGTGGATCATTCAGAGACTCTCCAATTTATCATTCAATTCACCAAAGCACCGTTCTTCTTTCCATAGGGTTTAGAATTAGTCTTTCTTCTTTAAAGAAATTTTCTCCATTGTTTCAATTACAAGATTTTTTTGAGTTCAAGTTCAATTTATTTAATTATTGCAATGCAAAACATTCAATTTTTTCTTGTGAACAATTTACATTCTTGCAATTCAATTCAAGGTAATTTATGTTTACTTAACTTAAATTCATGGTTTATTTGCTTTCAAGTTCAATTATGTCTTCTTCAATTGCTTTCATTTTCAATTTCATTATGAGTGATAGTCGTACTCCAGTTTGATCGAATGAGGGAGTCTCATCCGTGAATGGGGATTTTGACCAAATTAGAGTTTTTTCAATTATTGAGTTATTTGGGTTATTTGAATGACTAAAGTTGAAAACACTTTCGACATGTATATCTTCTTGCTTATCCGTATACAATTAAGTTTGACACGGGTAATTCTTGGAATCGCTGCAATCGAAGTGAATATAATTCTTTCAAAATCAAATCAATTAACTTGAATACACATTTGTTATTTACAATTTGGTGTGAATCGAATACTTTCTGTTTGAGTACAATCTCAATTGAGTTATAGAAATTGGGTCAAAATACCTGTTTATGGTGAAATGAAGTCTACTGATTAACCGATCTTTCCTTTAATTTTTATTTCTTAGTCAATAATTTCTACCACCAAACTTTCAAAAATTCAAGGTTTTTATTTTATTTTCTTTTGCCTGTCACCCCTTGAAACAATAGTTTTTCCTGAGGAGCCGACCTCGGTAATCGACCGAGTTACAAACACGATACACTTCCTATGCTTGAAAATTCTTTGGTAATTTAACCCACTTTCAAGATCAAGAAATGCAAAAGAGGTATGCAAATGCATGTTGTTGGAACAGTTCTGTATGAAGAAAATGTACTATGTTACTTGCTAGCCAAGAAGAATTCAAAATATCTAGAAAATAACACTAACTATATTGTTGATCTTGGGAAGAAGACTTGTGAGTGCAAGATACGAGATATTAGTGGCATACCTTGTATTGGCCTTTTTCTAATAATGTTATATTTTTATATCTTGGACTTAATAGAGTGGATCTACTGGAAATCTATCCCAAATGCTTGGTTCAACAAGAGCATCTCAGCTTCTTGGCAAGGCTGGAATGAAAAGTGTGGAGTCTACGATGAGAAAGAAGGTAAGTAGACCCACATAATAGCCAATAGATAAATATTTGATATTGTAATTTTTTTTTTTTGATCAACAATGTTACTTACGAACATTCTTACTTATTTATAGAGAGGGGGAAAAGCATAAGGATGACTCTTCAGGAAGTGGTAGCAAAGGTTTAAAGCAGGGAGAAAGTAGCAAGGGAATGAAGGTGCTCCTCCTAACAACATTGGGGAGTCTCAATATGCAATGCTTTAGACTTTACAAACCCTTTTTTTTGGGTGGTCTCTTAGGTAGTATATTTTGTTGGACATACTCTTAGGTGGTATATTCTGTTAGACATGCTTTTTGCAGACTAGTTTTGGGTTGTAAAAGGGTATAGTTTGATGGAATATTTTGTTAGTTGAGCTGGGGGTACGTTTTGGTGGCATGTAAAGCATAGCTTTTGAGATAGTTTTTTGACTGTACTGTTAAACATGCTGGGTGTAGTTTGATGGCATGTTAGTCCTATGTTGGCTTAAATGTACCGATTATTTACTTGACTAGTTACATTGGCATTTTGAATGGCTTACTTCCATGACTAGTTAGATTGGCATTTTGAATCCATGTATTAGCATGTGTGGAATGGCTTTCCAGAATGTATTAGTATGTCTTGTTTGTGCCATTTTGAATGGCTTACTCCATTTCATGGATGTTGTAAAGTAATAAAAGGCAAAGCAATGCATGAACAGCGTTTTGAGTAATAAAAAGTGGTGACTCTATTATACCACCGATAATTTTATACATTATTTCAAGATAAAATTATCAAGATTTGAGTGCATAGTAGTACTACAAACATGATCACATTTGATGTTACTAGTAGTCTCATTAAATTGTCGTGGCCTTCAACTATTTGAATCCTCTCTATTGTGACCTTCATTTAGTTGAAGACTTTTGGCGAGATTGATACTTTCTTTTGCTTTGATTTCCACGTTATGTGGATTCCACCACTCAAAAAAATCGTACTCGGGGCAACTAAAATGTAATCTATCCAATTTTTGTGATGATTTGGATATCCTTATGATGGCTTTTTTTCACAACTACACCTTCTATTTTTGAACTGCAACCATTGTCCCTCAGAGCCTCCATTGGATCCACTATTGATTGAAAAATTCATTTTTTTAGCTTAACAATTCAGTGAAAGTACCAAATAATAAGATATCAAAAAATAATATGAGAGAGAGCGTTCAACAAGATATCTTTCTCAAAACTGGGCATGGAGAGAATTGAGACATGTGGGTGCTATTTATATTACTTGGTCTAACGGCCAAATAAGTCACCAATGGTCAAAATAAGTGATCCGATGGTCCCAACAAAGGAAAGGGCATTTTTGAAAATTATAATGCATAGTATTATGCCATTATGCAATTTTGACGGGTTGTTGAGGAATACTAACGATGTTGGATTTATGTGTTACACTTATATACCTTAAGGGGTTCGTATGTAATTTTGTGTACCTAATGGGTCTGACTAACTAAATGACAAACGTCAAGGGTTTAGATGTAATTTTATGTTAGAAAATAAGGAAATATGGATATAAAAGAGGAAGATGAAATATATTTATTGGATCTATAGAGTGGTCAAAACGAAATCCATGGAGTTTTCAAAAAATAAAAATATAATTGAATCGCCCTTAAGTTAAAATTGAATTTTCTCATTAGTCAGTATAAATTTGAGTGAAAAGTTAAAAATTATTGTTAGCCCGTTTCTAATTAAATATAAAGCTTAGGCAAGATTTGACTAAAAACTCATTTCTTCCTTACCAATATCTTAGTGGGCCCAAATATTTATTAAGATCCATAAATAATCCGGTGATTGTGATAAATAAAAGGGTTATTTAGAAGTTGAGACAATTTTTTATACTTAATTGAGCAAAAATATAACATAAAACTTTATTTGGGCTAAAGTGCATATTTTTAAAAAATGACAATATTGTCGTTCAGATAAATAACTTAGGTGCTGAAACTCTTTGTATTCCTTCCATATATTTTGATTTACAATTAAATAATTGAAGGTAAAATAAGAGCATATTTTCTCTAACAGTTTCTCTTTCTCCTTATTTTCTCTTACTTTATTTATATTAACATTACAACAACACAATTACACTAATCAGTTATAATTGTCTTATAATACACCAAACAACTATTCACGCGTTCTAATAAATCAAGCAGTTACCAAAAATTATGATATCAACCCAATTTGTCATTTAGTTGTTAATATAAAATAAATAGTTGCACCATTTAGTATCGTAGTGTCGTTACACCATCATGTTTTAACAATTGCACGAGACTGTGATTGTTACATCCATTAATATAACAGTTACAACCATTAAAAAACAGTTACATCTATTAAAAAAATAGTTACACCCATTAAAAAAAAATAAAGATTTTTTTTTTCATATCCCAACAATGAACAATACATAATATTTAACAAAACATCTTGACCAATTCTCTTTTTTTTTTTTAGGGGGGGGAGGGGGGAAATTTAGTGTTTATTCACATTTAATTTGTGGCATTCTAATCAAATCTCATTGCCATAGAATCTTGTTGCTGAAGAAAAAAAGTTTTGATCATTAATGTCCCTATTTTACCTCTCATTACTATTTTTAATCTTTATACATTTGTTTCTTCAAATAACTGTTAATGATAACTGCATAATTTAAGGAATGATGTTTAGGTAAAAAAAATTTTAATTCATTTGAATTTTGTACTTAAACATAAAAAGTATTATAAAAATTATACTTNTCAAATAACTGTTAATGATAACTGCATAATTTAAGGAATGGTGTTTAGGTAAAAAAAAATTTAATTCATTTGAATTTTGTACTTAAACATAAAAAGTATTATAAAAATTATACTTAATAGAGTAAACAATTTATCCATACACTTTTACTAAAATAAGTTTAAAAAATTGTACTCACGCTGCAAAAATTCTAAATTAAATCAACAAATTATGTCAAAAGTAGTATTATTGTAAGAATAAGATACATGTTTACTTGACCCAAAACCAATGTATCCCCCACATTTTACGACAAGATCCACCCTATCCAGATCATTACACCATCAAATGCACCTATGAATGCCTGTACAAAAAACAGCCTCTCGAATCATTCCTTCTCCATTCGAAAGGGCTGCGACATTCCACCATTACTGAATAAACAATCGATTTTTTCTTTAATGCTGAATCGATTCATAATTCTTCTATTGTTCCTATAAATAAATACAGATACAGATTTGGATCATCATTAATCATTTGATATCTTTAAATGCTGTCCATGGCAATGGTTTTTCAACATAAAATAAAGACTCGGACAACAATGGAAGAAGGGCAAATGGATAAATGAACTTAATTCGCGCACACAGATCTGCATGGCAAAGTTGAATTCTAATCATCAGACTAGCATATAGAACACTGCCAAGCACTTATGGGAGAAGCAAAGTTGATTATCGACCAAACTATCCAGGTAACAGTAAGTTAATATGTCACCAAGAAACACCACATGAAAAACTCAAAAAAAAAAAAAAAAACAAATTTTGGGAATATAACAAATGACAAAAAAACCACTTGTAAAAATTCTAAGATGCGTGGCCCTCCTCTGCAGCAGCTTCAAAAGTCTCACCCGGCACAAGTGCTGGGACATCATCGTCATCGTCTTCTGGCGCCATGGTTGCACCACCACCAGGTTGCTGCTTCTGTAACTGCTCTGCCAGCTTCCTCAAGTTGTCCAAGTTATCTGACCCTGAAAAAAATAATGAAACAAACATCAAAGTTATCCTATATATGTTTCGGACTCCACATTAACCACAGTGATACGCTACATACCTAATTGATTAATAATTCCAGGAAGGATATCTTGCAATTCTGCAGCAGAGGAAAATTAATTGTTAGATGAAGCCCAGCTCAAGGATCAGGTATAATAATTGTCCTCCCCACTTTACCAGCATCAGGTACTAGAGTGGAGATACCGACTCAACAACTTGAAGTCAGTACTTGACCCAAACCCCTTATTGGCAAGTTATCTAAGAGAATTTGTAATGAAGTAAAATACGACAAAACCCACTAATACTGTTCACTGTCAAGAATAGATAGATGATGCTGGAAGGAAGATGTTACAGCCAGAGGTCATATGACCAATGGAAAAAAAAAAATACATTTATAGAAATACTTAAAACATAGGTTTAGGTGAATGTATACTCTTTGTCTGAGGAGAACCACTAACAACCCAAGTGTTGGCAGCAATAGAGGCTTGAACTGAAATGACAAAAGAAAATAAGTAGTTATTTGTTGACACATAACAAACTAACATAGAAAGTACAGGATTTACTTCCACCATTGGTACCTTTGGGGTTTATGAATTGGATAACCACGTCGTCCTTAAAAATATTGACTTCTTCTATTGCAGGTATGGCATTCACCCCTATTCTCTTCAGGGTGCTTTGAAGCCTTTTGTCATCCGTAGTCGTGGTCTTGTGAATAGCCTTCTTCTTTCTGTGGTGAGTATATTACAATTAAGCCACAGTGGGAATAGAAGGAAGCTCAAAAACAGGAGATGAGAGATGCCAGAAACAAATATTTGTATCTCCCTCCAAGAAAAGGGGATACATTTGCCACTGCAGACCTTTAGTGATCAAGAAAATCAGCATAGATGAGAGAAACACTAATTTCTACAATCACAATAAATATCACATATAACAAACAGTACTATAGTAGGTATCATGATATGCAAAACATCAAAGTACTTTATTTACAAAGAACTATCTACTCCGTTCTAGGATGTATGGCCCAAGCGTAACATATATACCTCAGATCAACCCTTAAAGAGTGATCTCTTAATCTAGAAGTCATACCACAAAGCCATTGACATGCGGAGAAAAGGGGAACACATGATTATAATTGTATAACCAGTTCTTGCATTTTAAATAATTCGACTACTCTCCCAAATTTTCACTGCCATGATAGTGGAATCTATTTTATTGTCTTATCAAGCTAACTTAATCAGAATATGTACTGATCACCAATTTTTCCTTATAACTCATTGCAAGAAAGGTATCAAATTGCCCAGAAACACACCTTCTCATGCTACCCTTTCCGCCTGTACGAACTGCACCAGCCATCTTCTTTAGCTTATTCACATCCATCTGAAATAAATAAATGTGGGAAACACATAAGAAATGGTAAGCACATTCAGTCAGCAAATCAAAAGGACGAATGTAAGACCCTACAATTTTCCAAGGCCACCTATTTAACATACACCAAATTCACACATCACCAGAGAATTATAAAAATGAATCAGGCTTGGACCAGAATCAATACAAATCTAAGGAAACACTTTGTACAACTGTAAAATAACAATGAAATGGTATTATAAGCTAGTTTATGCATGTTTACTTGACAAACAGGGTTAAAAAAATGATCTTCAACTGAATCAAGTAGTACAGTCCTAAAAAATAGAAATTAATTAGCCACACGAGGGGAAAAACATTTCACCCATGTGCCATCAAACTACTTCTGAAATCACAACGAAATGGCAGAGCAACAAAAAGCAATAATAATTTACCAACAAAAAACCAATAACAAACTTCCATGATTCAAGATTCTATCTGCTGAATGCAATCAAATATATCTTTGCCATCTATACATAATCCTTGAATCCCTCAAACATTTACATTGTGCCTGTTTGTGCACCTACAATGAAATCACTTCATTATCCTGTCTCTAGAATTGAGCTTGGGTCACATATGATTCATTTTTTACTTGGTTGTGGGTGATTACAATATTCACATGAACAATGGCTAAATTCCCAGCATGTGACTCTAGGCTCGATATCAGAAATAGGGAAGTAATATGGTTTCACTACATTGGTCACAATTGTAACAAGATCTTTTATGTGACTCTTTCAGCTCCAGTGACTTAGACACGGTTGCTTACATCCGACTCATTTGGATATCCAAGAGTGACTTCAGCAGACTAAGTTATTAAGACTACAAATTGTTATGATTAAGATTAAAAACTCAGGAAGTGTTTTATGCAAGATATTTGCAAAACAAAGTGAAAGGATAATTCTCAGTAAAAAATTAAACAGCCTACTTGAAATATAACTAATAAATTGAAGCAAGACATCTGAAACGACTAAAACAGCTCAAAAAAAAAAAAAATTCAATCGTAGCATCCCAGTATAAAAACAAGGCAAAAATGCATGGTACCAAATACCCAGTAAGTAGGTAACAGTATAACTAACTTGAAGAAAACATATAATTAACCCACAAACACCCCACACAGAAACACATGCAACATTTTTTAAAAAGCCCTACTTGAAATAGTTCAAACCCACGAACTTAAACATCAGATCCGATCTACAAGCGAGGCTAACTAGAAGCTTTACATATGTACAGCAACATCTATACAAGTATGCATATATCCAGGAAAACCAGAATTCTCAAACATGTAGGTCAAGTGAAGTGATCACTTTTTCACACCATCAAAATCAATCATCAGAAGGTTAACGCATAAGCACATGTGTATACATATGACGCGAGAGAGAGTGAGAGAGAGAGTGTAGTGTCTCACCTCCGCGAGCTCTGGAGTAGAAGAGATGGTGAGAAATGAGGGGCAGAGGCCAAGGGAGATGGAGAGGGAGAGTTGGGGACAAATGAAACCCTACAATCAATCTCTTCACTACGAACACAATACGGCAGGGGTTGCAAAGGGTAAATTTGGTAGAATTAAAATATTATGGACTAAAATGAGACAAACACTCTACTTTGTAGATCTCTAATCTAATTAACCCTTTTAGTACCGTAAAAATAGAAAAGAAAAATTTCACCGACACCCCCAAATAATAAGGTCTAAATTAGTTGACACTTTTTCTCTATTTTGAAACTTCACTCCTTCCCTTTGTGGTTTATACCGTTGAATCACGGACAACCTTTAAGAGTAATTTTCATCTATGACAGTAGCTAAAATATACGATTTAACTATTTATTCTTTAAAATATCAAAATTACCATCAGTTACGCTAATAGATTAAAATACATTGGGTTAATACTTTATAAAGTTTAGTTTTTTATTTTTTGAAAAAATTATATTTAAATCTCTGAAATTTATCACTTAATCATTTAGACTCATAATATTTTAAATATTATATATAGAACCTCTAAGATTTGTACGTGCGTAAGATTTAAACCTCCAGCCATTAATATCCGTTAGTATATCCATTAGTAAATTATATTTAAACCCTCTGAAGTTTGTAGACATATAATACTTAGATCATTCAAGTTTAAAATATTATACTTAAACAAAAAATACTTTAATTAAAGATAGAATATCAAAAAATTGTATATTAATGATGACCTTTTTTTAAAAAAAATTATATTTTTATTTTTGATTTTATTTTAATAAATGATATAATAGAACATAAATTTTAGTTATAAAATTCATATTCTACTATGAATGACTTAAACCCTTTATTTGATTTTTTAGTTTTATTTCAATAAATAGTATCATTGTATACTAATTATAAATTTAAAGAAAATTTTGACTTTTTATTTTTAATTTTGTTTTAATAAATGATACAATATAACATAAATTTGGTTGTAAAATTTAAAATATTTGATATTTTATCTTTGATTGAAATTTTTTTTATCTAAATATAACATTTTAAACTTGAGAAATTTAAGTATTATATACTTACAAACTTCAAATGGTTTAGATGTAATTTACTAACGGATATACTAACATACATTTGATGGCAGAGATTGCGTATATAAACTTTAGGGGTCTGTATGTAATATTTCAAATATCAGGAGTCTAAGTGATCAAGTGACAAATTTAAGGAGATCTGAGTGTAATTCTCTCATATTTTTTTGATAAGTAGGATGATATATTTAATCTAATGAAATTATTTTTTACACAACAAAAAATCATTCAACATAATAAAAGTAAAAAATGCATACAAACAAAACAAAATAAAAAAATAATTTTAATATTTTACCAAAAAATAAAATTAATTATAATCATTTTCAAACGTTGTATTATAACTTTATTATAAATATAACTAAGTATATATTAGTATAAATATTAGTTATCATATTATCACTTATTTTGCTACATAATCAAGTTTTTATAATTTTTATAGATAAAAATATTTTCTCTATAATAAAAATTACAATCGGTAAAGCTNTCATTTTGCTACATAATCAAGTTTTTATAATTTTTATAGATAAAAATATTTTCTCTATAATAAAAATTACAATCGGTAAAGCTAAAGTCAAAGTCCCACCAATTGTTAACTCTTCTGATATCGTCTGCCCTCCATAACATTATTCGACCACTCTTCACACATCACATTTCACATATCAAATTAAAATATTATTTGATAAATTTTAATTTTAATTGAATAAATTTGGTCTTCATTTGATAAATTTAAATATTAATTTGGTATTAATTTGACAAAATTTAATATTAATTGAATAAATTTGATTGTTGTTTTTGATAAAATTGAATGTTAATTTATTATTAAATTAAAAAATTACATTAATTTGATAAGGTTAAATGTTAAATTAATAAAATTTAATATTCTATTTAATATAATTAAATTTTAATTTGATAAAATTTAATGTTAATTTGGTGTTGATTTGATAAAATTAAATAATAATGTAATGTTAAATTAAAAAAATAATATTAATTTGATTAAATTATTTAAACTACCACTAACATTACTTAAATTATTTTCTGATTTTTTTTATCAATATGTAAAACATGATTATTATTTTCTTCTATTTTTCTAAACTTAAAGGTATACATTCAATATGTTGATTATTATTGTTTGCAAAAAAAACAAAAAGGATTACTATTCTTTGTCATGGTGGATTGTTATGATATCTAAGGTCTCCTCTTATGTTGAAGTTACAACTGCCTAAAATCAAATTCACTAAAATACCAACAATGACAAAATCTAATTTTAACATATAAAATTAGATATAATGTGACACCCCATGAATCGGGGGTCATTAATTTACCGTTGATCACCCGTCAACCCGCAGAAAGACCCGTGAGTGTCGCTTGATTCGACATCACGCTAATATTATTCCATTTTCAAGAATTTTAACTCACACGAATTATCCGTGTTCCTTTAATAATTTAATTTAACTGTGGCTCAAGGTACTACAATTCATGCCTCTCTATTGTCCAATTTCATCTTTGGAGACAAGGGAATCAAAGACCGAGAGTACAACATTTTAGTTTTAAAGTTTCAAAATTTTAGAGAGAGTATCGGTACTGTGTATCAGTGCTGTTTGCTCACTGGCCCTAGCAGTACTGGTACCATCTGAACTGTACCGATACAGTCTGCCTTCTAAAAATTTTTATATAAGTTTTGGAAAGAGTACAGGTACTGTGTAACTATGCTGTCTGCTTGCTGGACCAGATTGTACCGGTACACTGTACTGGTACTCTATGCCCAGTTTAGCCTATTTTCACTGTTTTTCATTTCCAATCCGTTCCAAATCATCTATTTTTCATCTAAAACATGCATAATGATGTTATTCACATCAAGTTCTATTACGAGCCATTTACACAGTTATAGGTCAAAATGGAATTAAACTTAAGTTTTACACAAAACTTGTTTTCAAAAGCCACAATCCGGATTTTCTTCACTCTCGAGGTCCTGAATGTGTGTTATCCACCGGAATATGTCCCCCACCTAAAATGTGTTCCAGTATAGGGTGAGCTAATGCCCAGTAGAATATTTTCTATAGAGGTTACTCTCCAACTTGAGTGCATATGAATGTATACATACAACAATACACAACCAATATCCATTTCAATGCAAGAATATGTAATTCATCTTGGAATCTATCGTGTCATGCCATGAAATGAGATGAGACTCACTCATGCACTTTACCCCGAGTCTTCACCGATTCCCACAACACAATGCAGTGCCAATGTATAATTTAAACCGTCATCTATGTTACACATCAAATGACATTTTCAAAACTAGGGTCTTTCTAGGGGTGGATATTTGATTCGTGCGTAAAGTTAACAATTTTTACTATGCCTTTTTGGACTAATTGTACTTTGATGGAGTTTAAGTAATGAGATTTCAGGTCCTAAAGAGAACAAAGGCTCAAGAACAACAAACATACACTTGAATGTAACACCAGCACAATAGGGAACAAAATTGCAGAAGGTTGGAACAAAGCAAGAACGTTCGAACGTCAACTCACGTTCGATCATCCTCTGAAATCCTGCCAAGACCAGTTGCTGAGACATGACGTGTTGCAGTCAACAAAGGGAAAATGCTGAGGTACTTGAGTACCACGTTCGAATGCCAACTCATGTTCGAACGTTCTTTGGAATCCTGAGAAGACTACACCACTGGAACTTGGCATGTTGCAGTAAAGAAAGAAGAACCAGAAGTATTTGAGTACAACATTCAAATGCCACTCCACATTTGAACGTTGTCTTGAGTGACTAAGGACCAAGTTGCTGAGTGTAAAGTCAAGGTTGTTCAAGACATATGGAAGTGACCAAGTCAGTGACCACAGGCCACTTGAGTGAAAGGAATCAGACGTCATCTGGTGTTCGAACGCCCTCAAAGCAAAGACACAGACAACGTTCGAACGACATCTAAAGTTTGAACGTCCTTAAATAAAAGACAGACTTAACGTTCGAACACCAGATCACATTTGAACGTCCTCTGCAGACTGTCTGTAGAATAGTTGGTCCCCATGGGCGGCAAATACTATTCACTCCCCCTCTCTTATCTCTTACCCTCCCCCTCCCCTTCCTTGCTTATAAATACTCCCATGTTGGGAGCTTAGAGGGCATTCTTCCTCTTGTAGAGAAAAAGGGGAACAATCCTTATTCTTGTAAAGTAAGAGTGTTTTAGTAATCTAGTTCTTGAACATTTCATGTTTATGTTTTCATTTTGCATTTATATAAACCATGATGGAGGCTTAGACTCTCATTGTAGTTGTACTTGTTTTTATTTACAAAGTATCAAGAGAGATAGTTCATCTTTTGGTTGTGGTGGAAATCCTCCAAAAGTAACTACCTTTCTTTCTCTTTTATTGTTCATGCATTTCACTTCCATTGCTTAAGCATCCTTCTTTCTTAGAAGAGTGAAACTCTTCCACTTTTCTAGAGCTTCACCAAAACCGTGAAGGGTGAAAAGTGATTCACTTATTCTTCATTGAAGATAGACTCTTGTTTAGTTTGTTTCATTTAGTAGCTCCTCTACTTAGAGGGATGAGTATCACTCACTTTTTTAGCTTTGCCAAAGCCATGAAAAGTGAGTAGTTCCTCATTCACTCTTTAGTAAGAGGTGATGAATATGTAAAGATTATCTGGAAGTTATGTTTGTGTAACTTCTTCATGCTTTAATGTTTTATACTTCACCTGTTCATTGGATGATTGGATGTATCTAGCGAAGTTGAGGTACTTTGTCTAACCAAGGGCTCCATCCATGATACAGATGACTCCTACATAGAAAGACCCGTTGGTTCAAGGCAATTACCCCGGCTAGCTCTTCATGACAACCTTTCAATTCCCACCATTATTGCACTTTATTCAAAGAATGGATCATTAATATCATAATTGGATGCTTTGTAGAAACACTTGCTTGTTTGTAGACGGGTTAAGTCTCGGCACAGACAATTCTTGTAAACTTCTAGAAAGGTATCGGAATCATGTGCTTAATTCTTACAGTCCATTTTTATCTTCCGATTAACTTGCTATTGACACGGGAGTTAA